CACCACCACCAGCCTGCACAATGGTAACAAGGCATGCTGGATCCATGTTCTCATTTTGTTTACACCAAATTCTGACTCTACCATCTGAATGTCTCAACAGAAATCGAGACTCAGACCAGGCAACATTTTTCCAGTCTGTCCAATTTTGGTGAGCTCTTGTAAATTGTAGCCTCTTTTTCCTATTTGTACTGGAGATGAGTGGTACCCAGTGGGGACTTCTACTGTTGTAGCCAATCCGCCTCAAGGTTGTGTGTGTTGTGGCTTCACAAATGCTTTGCTGCATACCTCGGTTGTATATATTTATATCAGTTTTCACTGCAAAGGGTAATTTGTTTGGATGTCATGTATCTGACCTTTTACGGCACAACAATTTTCCTGTTTTTACACTAGTGGTGGCATTCTACCTGTTAGGTACACATGCGCGTTTAAATGTTATTTTAAGGTGGGGTAGAATTAAATGAATGGCAAAACTCAACATTTTGTTTGCGTATCCCCCTCTGTCACCTCACGTACCCCAGTTTGGGAACCACTGTTAGAATGGAAACAGGTACATATCATATACTGTACTATAATGAAAACAGGTGACTGGTTAAGTTAGGTAGACCATTTCCGGTAACCAGTCTCTTATTCAGTTCTTATAGCTCACATTTCTTATTTCTTTGTTCTTCCACTGTGAAGGTCAGTCTTCATACAGTGTTAGTGTGCTGTGGGCAATCAATTTAATTGTTGTCTTATTCATGTGTTCATGAATGCATGTATGCATCTGTGTGCTTGTAAGCATATAGCCAGCGCTAAGTTTGCTTTTCTAGTGTTGTATCCAACAAACACGCACACAGGCACAGACAATTATGGTCAAATCAAAAGCAGGAGGACAGTCATAGCTCCACAAATTGTTCCTCTCTCTTTCGTTTCGGCATGTTTGAAAGCTGTTTACGAAGAGCTTCAATGCCCCAATTGGTTATTGTCACAGATGTGACAGACCCTGTCATGGAAGACCAAATATTAAATGGAAAAATATTAAAAATCCAACTTTCTCTAATGACCTTGTGAATCAACTGTCTGTCTATCACTCTATTGGCCTGTCTGTATAGCTGTGTGTATATGTATGTATATCACAGAACCTATTGGCCATATATTGTGACCTCCATTCTATTCTTGGATTATCTCTTCCCCCTTTATACAAACTGTGAACAATGCTTGGACAGCCCTCTATTAACTCCCAACAAACACTTTGTTGCCATGTGACCCTCAGAATGTTTGCGAAACCTTTATTTAACATTTAAAGATCCTCCCATGTGACCTGCAGAGGCGGGACAGAGCAGTGCAGAGCAAACGTTTGTTCAGAGCCACATGACTATAAGGATGCGTTCAAACAACATTGAGTAAACGCTCTTAAATCGTAAAGCTGGTAGAAAATAGCGTTTACAGCAGTAGAATGGCGCACGTATAACTCAGCATGAGCAACGAAACAATGCTCTGCAAACAGTTCCCACTGCTATAATAGTCTTGCCAATAACTCAACCCCCAACATCCTTTTCTTCATGGTGTCGAGTCAGATTACATGATACAGTTGTCTTCCGTCTGAGACAGACAGAATGGTGTTTTAGAATGAGTTTTATTCTTTAACACACTTAAAGTGAACGTACATATTTCAAATAGTGAGAAATTGTATTGAGTTTGTTCCGTATGAGAAAGGGAATCACTCATTTTAGTGAAGTGTTGTGGGAGGAGGGATTTTGCTGGGATTTGGCCTCTGTTGTGTGTGTTTAAGAAACACTCTCCAGTTGTGATATGCTGAGTTTTGAGAAAAAGAGAGGGAAAGGTTTTCTTTGGCTGTGGAGTTCAAAGACAAACTTCAGGGGGGAAATGGGAGTGCAAAAAAAGAATGAGAACAAAATCTCACTCTGTGTGTGTGTCGTGAGAGCTGGATGTGGAGCTCTGTCTCAAGGCTTTCTGAGAATTTGAAACTTTGACAGAAGCCAAGGCAAAGTTTGGTGTGGGGGAGAAAGAGAGAGGTTGAGGGAAAAGAGAGAGGGAGAGACAAAGGAAGGGATGATGGAAGGTACGGGGAAGAGGGAGATGGAAATGGAAATGGAAGGAGAGAAAGAATTGGGATGGTTGGATGTGCCTGATGCTTTAGTACATATAATATGATGACAAAAGTAATGAAATGAACATACATTCACAATTTATTTTACTTTCTTGTGCCGTATTTTTATTACATTTTTAATATTAAAGTAAAATAAATAATATTTTTTTTTAAAATGCTTATTAGTTGGTAAATATCTGTTGATTAATAAGTTAATTATCAATAGCAGTTGATTAACCAGTAATCTTGCCCATGTTAGTATTATTATTATTATTATTATTATTTTTCTTAATTTAAATAACTTGAAAGTTAAACACCAGTAATCAAATTATTTTAAATCTATTTTAAATCGAATCTATATTTATATTCTTTTTACTTTATTACTGATATTTGTTATATCTTGATATTTGGTATTGTAAAGCAGTTTGTAGAAAGCGTGTTTCATGTCTGAATAAAAAAAATAATGTTTATCAAGCCCCTTTCACAAAGCGCGTTGATTCCAGAAAATTGCCGGGAAATTGCCAGAACGCCTTCTGTGTGAACGCAAACACGACCCGGGATTGATACCGGTGTTCTGACAATTCATGCTACCCATCGAGATTTGCTACTTACCGGTTATGCGCATGTGCAGACTCACAGTTTTTTTTTTTTTTTTTTTTTTTTACAAAAGGTACATTTTTCTCTTATAATGTATAATTTCCCTTTAAAAAATTCTTACTACCATATGAATATTTGTACGGCCAGCCAGCTGAAAAAGAATAACTGAAAGTTTCAGTTACTATGAGGATAGGTGTACTTTGACAAGTCAAAGATGAATATTTTATGATAATTTTTACTATTCACACTGTTTTAAAAATAAAAAACAATAGTCTACAGTATACAGTAGCTACTCATAACTTATAATTGTATTATAATTGTATTTCATACGACTTTAATCGGCATTCTGTGATCAATTCAATCTATGGTTGCATTTTTTGACAAGGCAGCAAAAATCGACAGAACACCGGCATCGATCCCGGGTTGGGGACCTAGTAACATTGCCGGGATCAGTCCCGGAACGCACGCTGTGCCGTAAGGGCTGTGTCACAGCGATGACGCTCGTGCCATCGCGCGACTCTGTTGCTCTTAGAAGAAAGTTTGAGTTCGTCATCAACAAAGAAAGGACGAACAAACGTCTGCAAACTGGAACGAAGCACAGAGCAGTGCTGAAGCTGAGATCGTTCACCCGCTTTGTGGAACGGTATGCGCATGTACATGTTTTCGACGCGTAAATTACACGTCTCATCCCGACGTCATGTGTCTTTCAGGGATCTTTACGGGTTATGTCTGAATACACTCACATATCCCGGCAAATCACTGGCAGTGTGAATGAACCGAAATCAAACAATCCCTGGACAAATTCCAGGTCACATTATCCGTGTATTTTCCGGAATCTATGTGTGAAAGGGGCTTCAGTCACATAATATTTTATTCAGTCTGTATATGAAGAGTTCAGATGCAAAAGCCTCTAAGTGCCATCTGAAATTTTCTTCTAGAATGATCATTTTTATCAAGCTTGTATATTTAAGTTCAGTGATTGCACTTAAATGGCAATGATAATTACCTATTAATTGTTATTTAAGTGAAATTACTGAACTTAAATATACAAGTTTGACAAAAATCATCATTAAAGAAGAAAATTTCAAATGGCATTTAGAGGCTTTTGCATCTGAACTCTTTATATTTAAATGAAATGTAACAGCGATACAGCCTCAATCCCCATTCATTTCCCTTGTTATATCTTTGTTCCATGGTAAAATAAAAGTTATACATGTTTGGAAAAACTAAATGATGGAAGTGAAGAAACCGTTTTATTAACGGTTTGTGTCCGTTTTATTAACAAATTGAAGCACTAGTCATCTCCGTTTCTCTCTCACCTAGACTTTCTTTCTCACTGCTTAATCCACTGGAGTATTGTAAGGCACAAGCTGCTTGTCAGCTGAGTGTCTCTCCCTTCTCTCTCTCTCTCTCTCTCCTGCTCTTGTTTCAGCAACTCTCTTGGTCTCATCCCAACCCTCTGCCCAGTCTCAACTCCTCTCATCCTCTCGCTTTCCTTCCCTCCTCCCCTTCTTTCCTCCCTTGCCCTCCCTCTTTCTCTTTCTTTTTCTCTTACTCACTCACTCACTCACTCTCTCTCGCCGTGTGAGTGAGCAGAGGTTGTCTCAGAGAGAAAATGCCATCGTGTTCGCCGGACTGTTGCTTGTATCAGGCAGTAGAGGTAAGACTGACAGTAACTACTTTTTCAGAAGAGAAGCGTCCTGCAGATGCCAGTCTACAAAAAAATATCAAATTTAGTCACGCAGATTATTTTTGTGCATAAATTGCACGCTACTTAGATGGTGAAGTATTTGTTAAAATGTTAGCTTTTGTGGATGCATGTGTATGTTTAGCTGTGCATTTACTAGTCATTGCGGTGTCATTAAAAGAACTGAAAGCATTTCTCTTTCTTTTCCCTTTATCTGGGCCGTTGGCTTTGGCATTCATGTGTGTTCAGCCTCTTAATGGAGTATATCCTCTTGTCCGTGTTCGAGTCAGTCACGCTTATAAGAGCCGGGCTCAACCTAAACACTAAGAATCCATGTAGATTGAGCTAGGGGCCATATAAACATTGAGATTTGCATGGTTTGCGAGAACAAAAACATAATCAACAAGCACAAATAAACTTTTTTTTTTTTTTTTTCGTCCGAGCATCATTTTTACTCTTAGGTAACTGAAAAGTTTGTATTTGGCGAGTTGTCAAAACTCCACCATCTGGAGCATTGTGCAAAAGCGTGTCTGTAATTGTCCGACAAATTAGACTCATTAACAACACCGCCTCGAGGTCATATTAAACGCATCTGTAATGGACGTCCTGTGTATGTGTGTTGAACAGATCATCAAAGTTTTCAGCGAGGATGGTGTGGGAAAAGTCGTGGAGGTCCCTGCCGACATGACGGCCAGAGATGTGTGTCAGTTCCTGGTCTACAAGACCCACTGCCTGGATGACAACTGCTGGTCGCTAGTGGAGCATCATTCCCTGCTTGGTCTGGGTAAGCGAAGCCATCATATGTGTATAGTCCTTTTCTGCGTTTGCATGACTTATGCGTGCAGCACACACACCCAGTCTAGGAGGACATGCTGTTCTGTCCAGGGACACTGGGTTCCCAGTGCACTGCACTGTGTAACAGGAAATCACCTTTCAGCAAGCCCAGACTCAGAGTCTTATATACACATACTTGTTCTCCTATTAACACTTAAGCTCTCAAATACAACATCGTACGTCACGCACGGCTGCGCATTTTGCATGCGCAACGCCTCATAGAGCGTCCAACCTGAAAGAAAGGAAAAGCCTTCACAATGCAGATGCTTTTGAGAAAATGAGAGTAGAGAAGGAGAGGTCATGAAGAACCAGTGCTTAATCTCGCCGGCAATCAATTAGGGCACGTGTGGTTGTGTGTTTCTCAGGCAGATTACAGATTAACCCTTGCTCAAGTCATACTAAACAGATTTAACTCTGCCTGACCTTTAGAGATGCGGTCATTGCTCTTGAAAATCCCTTGGAGATTCGGAAATAATTCGGACGGACACAATCTGCTCTTTATTTGAATGCGTCCACTTTAAAGCCATCAAGGCAAGTTGTTAGTTATGCTTAGGCTTTATGATGTCAAAATGTGATGGGGTGTGGTCTATATTTGGTCAGCTGACATCTCTAGAGAGGCTTAGCATTATTATGTGGTGTAGTTGGATGTGTTTCCCTCATCACTTCTGGAGACATCAGCGTGCCAACGTTACGGAAACCTTCTAGAAACGTTGCTCTTACGTAAGCCATTAGCAGGGAGACTCTGCTGACTTTGCTGCCATCAACCCTCAGTGCAATCAAGCTAAATACATGACCTCATCCCTCTGCAATGCCTCTCGCTTTCCCTCGCTTTCTCTTTCATATACAGTCATGCTCTCTCTCCTTCTCTTCTCAGAGGAGTGAATTAGCGGATGAGGGATCAGATACACAACAGATACATTAGATGGGGTTTGAGCCGGTGCTTTAATGTCTTTGACATATGAGTGATGCTATACTTAAAAAGAATAGACATTACGATATTCAGTTAATCTGGATCATTTTCTCATTATAGGGCATCACATTGTGCTGGATGCTGAAAGATTGTAATGTTTTGTTTGTTTTTTGTTGTTAAACTGGCCGAGCATGCCGTTAGCAATGACATGGTCACGGGTTTGATTCCCAGGGAACACGTCTTGTACCAAAAAAAAAAAAAAATAGCTTGACTTCACTATGAGGTACTTTAGATAAACGCCAAATGCAAGAATTTAAATGTAACACTTAAATATACAATTAATGTATATTTCTAAAATATTTGGATTATTAAATACAAGTATTAGACTAGAGCATGAATATATACATCTTATATTAAAATCACTTTAATATTTTCATATGTATTATATATTATGTGAATAATTTATTTTATGCATTCAATTTTTTATATTAAATTCATGTTATATATATTTAAGTAAGCTTCATTTATATAGCGCCTTTCACAGATAAAATCACAAAGTGCTTTAGTGCTCTCTCTATATATAAACACACGCACACACACACAAACGCAGTGATGTGAATAAGTTTGGACACCCTAAACACATGCTAAATAAAGTTCCTTTGGCCTTTGGAATTAAAATACCCCCACATCATCACATACCCTTCACCATACCAAGAGTTTGACATGGTTTTATTTCAGTTTGCCTAATAGCTGGTTTGATTTGCATTGAGAGATGATCTTTTGGAAAGTACCCCATGGCAATCTCTATGTATGGTGAAGGGTGTGTGATGATGTGGGGATATTTTAATTCCAAAGGCCAAGGGAACTTTATCAGGATGCATATTATCCTGGATCCATGAAATAACTGGCTTTTAAAAATAAAAATCTGCCTGCCTCTAAGGGCATTTATTTAACATAGGGGTGTCCTGACTTACTGTATGCACCATGTATTTTAAGGAAGAACATTTATTTATTTGTGATGCATTATTCATTCACAAAGAAAATTGGTGTCCTTAAAGGTTGGATTTTTCCCCATTTTTCTAATTAAGGCATTATGTCATCAATTTTCAAAAGATGATTTTTTACTCCTCTTTTTAGGCAGATTTAGCATGGATGTCCAAACTTATTCACATCACTGCATATGTGTGTTTATACTTTATTTGTAACATTTACCCAAATGTTTAATCATGTTTTTACAAATGGATAATTTTGTTGCATAATAGCACAACACAAGCCTAATTTCAAATTCTGAATTGAATTCACTAAAAAACAGTCAGTGATTAAAATAAGAACAAACAAATAAAATAGAATAAAGATACAAAATATAAATAAATAGTGCTTAAGTTTTTTGTGTATGTCTTTTTGTAGTTCCAACAGTAGTATTAAGGTAAGAAATATAAGAAATTGAATAAGGAATCAAACAATTATAGTTACAAAAGTTATTTATTCATGAGCCGTGAGTGTCATCTGAATATTAGTAAAAAACACAAGACAAAATAATTCGGATTTTGGAGACAGCAGCACAAATATTATTAGGCTGTTGTCACTTTAAGACCAAAATGCACTGATCCAATAAATCATTACATAGAATTTTTCTCAACTGTTTACTCAAGTAATTTGTGTGTATTTGACCATTTAAGTGCTATTTGGTGCCCGTGAGGTGTTTGAGGCGGCTTTATGTTTGCGTGCTTTGAGTGTGCAGCGTCTCGAGAGCGTGCAAGTGCTGACTGTTTTAAACACTGGCAATAAAGAAATGCAAATTATAAACTTTGGTGATGATGTGACACTGCCTCAAATGTGCAGGTGACAGACAATTCCTTTGTCAACTGTGCAACTCAATTGTAGTGCAGACACGTTGGGGTGTTTAAATTGCGCCTCACCCCCATAATAATTTTACCCACGCCAGACAGGTATTGAGATGCCACCGCTGCATGTAATGCCATATACATCTCATGGCAGGCATGCATCTTTATGCATCGTCAGCGCGAGGTCGGCAATTATTAAGAGATTGCAGATCCAAATTTTACCTTCCCTGTTTTGTTCAGTGCCTTGTCGGATATTGTCTTTTGTAACGTGTACTTCCGCTGAGTTCATGATTTAAGTCAGTTTTGAATATATTCCTATATCCGTACGTGTTTTACGACAACAAACCGTTACATACGTATATACAAATATACATGTATAACTCCCCATCCCCCCCCCCCCCCCCTTGGAGCCGTGGCTTAGTGGTTAGCAGGAAAAAAAAGAAAAGAGAAAATTGTCCCCTGACAGACATTTTAATATTCCCAAGCTTCAGAGGTCACAACTCATTCCATCTGCTCTGATTCAAAGGGTTTAGCGATTTTTAAAGTGATCATGTGAAAATCCATTACACCATTAACGGCCAGTAAACAGTTTTGATGTCATCTGTGTTTGTTTGAATACAGAGAGGTGTCTGGAAGACCATGAACTGGTGGTTGCAGTGCAAGCCTGCATGTCTCCAGAGAGCAAGTTTCTCTTCAGGAAGAACTACGCCAAGTACGAGTTCTTCAGAAACCCACTGGTGAGTTATCGCAGAGAACAACCGCTCCCATTCAGCCCACCCATGCGTTTCCTTACCTCTCCAGACCACCACTACAAGCTTAAATCCCTTGAAATTAAAGTCAGATTATCCTTGAAAATCTCACTAAGAATACTTGATACACGACCTGCAAGCTATAAATCCCTTAAGGGCACACTATGCAGGAATTCCGTTTTTGTCGAACAGCGACCCTGTTAGAGTCGCTGTGGAGTACTTGTATTTAACGTTACTGTCGTTAAAATCAGTCACGCAGAGCGTGTCTGCACTCACGGCCTGATGCCCCTTTGAAGCGGTTATATTAAGGTACAAATCTTGCATAGTGTACCTTTAAATAAGAAATCTAGGGGGTGTTTATGGGTAGGCCTACTATTATATTAGACTACATAGCCTTTCGAACCTGAACCAAACTTTTTTTTTCAGAGATCAACAGTCTGTCATTAGTCTTTAGTCCGCCACTAAAAAACGGTGTGGTGTGGTTCCGGTACACCAGCCATGTCAACGAATCGAATGAATGACAATTTGCTTATCAATGTATAGCCTATGTAAATTCGCGCCTACATCTTTGTAGAACTTCAAAACAAGAAACCGAAAAGATGCTGCAGCCAATGAGCCGCCAGCGGGGGCTGACTCAACCTCCACGGACAGTTTTTAATATTTTATCAGACAATAACTACTTAAGACTATGCTTTAGTATTTTGGGACAATTAGGGCCGGATTCTAGCCTGGATGCCAGCCCGAACTCCGCCCACACCATTTTTTGGTCGGGAAGTTCGGTCTGGACTCGATCCATTGAGGAGTAATTATGATCAGTCAAAAAATGATCAGGCCAATCAAATTGCCAGGGCGGGCTTTATACGATGATGGACAGGTGATCTTCAGGGACGTAATCATTACGTTATCAAAGAGCGCTTAACTGGTTTCTCCAAAGATGACTGCAGCTGGAGAATTGAGATGTATAGATTCCTCTGTCGCGTCTGTTGTAAAATAAATCGACAGCGCATTAATTTTAATAGACAAACAGAAAACTGCAATCAAGGCTTCGTCGATCGGAAAGATATTTTTGCCGTCCTTCCTACATGATTCGGCAAAAGTGTAACTTATCAGCTGGCTCCGATGGTCGCTAAGAAGATGGGACGTTATGAAAAGCCTGTGGTTGTTGTGGTTTCTCCTTTGGTCGCACTCATGGAGGACCAAGTAAAAGAAGCAACACTCGTTATTTTACTTCTAAAAAAAGTAAGTTCCCTTGACAACTGTGATATACAACGTAGTTGACTTACTGCGTTGCTCTGATTGGTTGTAGGTCTACCGACTATCCAATTGAGTGCATAGTTTTTTTTTTTCCTGGTTCGGTTAAGACACGCCTCATAATCAAAGCCCTATGGAGGAGTTTCAGACTCAAGTCAGGCTTGCCGGATTCGGGATAACAGCTTAGATTTCGGAACTTTCCGTAATTTTTCAAGACGTCTGGTCACCCTATGTGGTGGCGAGCGCAGTCTCCACTCGGACGCGCTCTTCAATCTATCGCCGTTGTGGACTCTCTCTATTCATTCCAGTGAAATCACAAAATAAAACGCACACAAACTTAGAAAAATGTACTTACTAGTCCATCAACAAGATCGCCAGGTCAGCGTCACGGTTGCATCCAGTGCTGCTTTTTAGCTCGCGCCAATGAGTGACAACCGCTTTTCCTTTTCCTAGTCTCATCCAACCTTTACTACCAGGATTTGCCCTACTATGAGTTTGTTTACCACCGAAATGACTTTGAAGCGGCACAATTCTTGCACAGTGTGCCTTTAAATATGTAAATGTCAAACAAACCAACGAGTTCCCACATTCCTGTTTTTCATATGTGAGAAAAAACCTCCTTGTTATCAATTTCCAGCCAGTCAAGTACAGCTTGTACATGTTCCACCTCACTAAGCAAATAACCTGCTTTTTTTAATTTTATAAGCCTGTACTCGGCATCTTTTAACTGATGGAATTTCGACAAGTACATTTGGACGTGTCGTATAATCACCTTACGGTGTGAACACTGTGAACCATTTTATCGTTCTTTATAAGCCACAGACTTTTTGTACGCTTGAAAAAATATGTTCACGCAAAGGCTTAATCTTATTTGAGCCTGTGCTTTAGTATGGTATGTACAGTATGTGTCAGTGCTTGAAACGTCTTTGGGCCGGTTAGTTCGAGTCTATTTGACAGAGCACTTAACCTGCTCTTGGTAATCCCTGGCTTTGGCAAATGCTTGGTGCAACTCACCCAAATTAGCTTTAGATGAGTTTCAGCTCGTGCGGATGTGAATTTATGCATGCATCTTACCATGTTCAACTGGTAAAGGTCACACCTGGATTTACTGGATTTATTAAAAATTTGAGTTGTTGATTTAGTGTGATCAGCTCATGTGCAATGCACTTTTTTGCTGCATCGTGGCTGATTTGTAGATTTTACACATCAACAGATTTCTCTGTATGTCGCGGACTACGCAAGTGAGGCTTTTTTATGACCATTTCGCTTTTTTTGAATCAAGTATATGTTTTTTTTGTGTGTGTGTGGTCACATAGCATCGCAGAAGTCACACAGTTTTCGAAGAAGTAGCGATTTTAAATTGGTCTAAATATGTCCAAACAACACCAGAGAGCTAAATATATCATCATATATATGTAATCTATCTATATATCTATGTTCAGAGAGAAGAAAATTCAGTTAAAACCTTGAAAAAGTTGTACATTCAATTCTCAAAGTTTGTCCCATTCTTTTACACTCCGGCTCAGTCTAGCAATAATCATCTTATGTAATTGCCCACTAAGAAAAGCATCCGATCTGGGTCAGGTGAACCTAAAAACGTACTTCTATATGGTATATGGCTTCCAATTACTTATCATTCAAACTAAAAGGTATTTTTAAATACTTTCTTCTGTGTTGCTGGCATATGTTCAGTGCAGACGGTCTTTTCTTACCTCTCTTCCTCTCATAGAACTTCTTTCCGGAGCAGATGGTTGCATGGTGTCAGGAATCTAATGGCTCTATCCCACAGTCCCAGCTCTTACAGGTGAGGAAGACACGCAATTGGATCCGATACACGGCAAAATCTGGATTAGCCTAGATTATGAACATGTGCGTCACGCTTACATGACTGTGTGATTGCCAGTGCAGATGAATAAGCATTTTGGTGGATTCAAACAGCTTTTAAACTGCATACTCATGTCTTGTGATAGCAGAGAGGCCGCGTTATTAAAGCATGGAAGGCATCCAGGTTTGGAAAAACTCATTTTCCAGATGGTCCTCTGCTTTTTTTTCCCCTCCTGCACAGAATTTCTTGAATTCCAGCAGCTGTCCAGAGATCCAGGGCTTCCTTTATTTGAAAGAGACGGGCCGAAAGTCCTGGAAAAAACACTACATGTTCTTACGGCGTTCTGGGCTGTACTGCTCTACTAAAGGAATGTCCAAGGCAAGCTTCTCTTTAAACTTATTTCAATGTTGTATTATGAATTCAAGTCTCTAAATTTCTACATAAGAGCATATCAATGTTTTTTTTTTTACAACTTTTGTTGTTCTACAGCTGTTATACAGCTTATATTTGCTATTTTTCCTGCAAATAAATATAGTGCGCTACAAAAGTCCACATTTAAAGACTGGGATTCATAATCTAACTTGCACCTGAACTTTTTTTTTTTTAGGATTTTGGAAATACAAAGAAAGCTTCGACTTAAAATGAGTTAGAAATATAAAATGAACATTAACATATTAATAATATAAAAAAGAAAAGAGATTAAAAAAATCGAATTTCTAATAAATATTTAATATAATTGTATGTTATTAATTGTATTTAATTGCTTAATTGTATATTATTATTATTTTTTATTATTTTATTTTATATTTTTATATTTTTATTATATTATTATTTTATTATTATTTATATTATTATATTATTATTAATAAAAAACTTTTGGTAATCTGTTAATAAATAAATGTATGCTTATAATACATATTGAATCAAAGTAGTTTAGAATAATAATAAAAGTTGAATTTTTACTAGATTTGAAATGCTAAATACTAAATGTCTCAGATTTTTGGACCATATTTATTTGAATAAACTATTTCAGGATTAAGGTTTCACTGTTCATGCCACTCATTATATAGGACGGTCTGCGAGTTGTAATATGATGAAGTTTTAACTGGCTTGTTTAGGAGCCAAGGCACCTGCAGTTACTGTCAGACTTGGAGGAGAGCAATATTTTCACTGTGACGACGGGCAGAAAGATGCACAATGCGCCCACAGACTTCCAATTCTGCATTAAGGTGAGCAGGACGACGGTCAGTGTTGTCATGCATAAAATGAACAGAATCAGCGGCATTGACAATAGAGGTAGCATGGATGGCACAATTTCAAAATCAATGATTTTCCCCTTTAATTAACTACCCATGCCTCACCTGGTACAGTGCATGCTTGTCCTTTTTAACTTGAGTGCCTTGATTTGACAGTAGATATCTTGCTTGATTGACAGCCCAGTAAGGGCAGGACTGAACTGAAGGAGTTGAAGATGTTGTGTGCCGAGGACGAGCAGAGCCGAACGTGCTGGATGACTGCTTTCAGACTGCTCAAGGTATGCACGCATATCACTGCTACAATCTATACACACTCTTAAAACCGTGTAGATTTAGAAGTGTGAAATGTTTTTCTATATTAAAGCAGCACTATGCAGGATTTGCGTTTTTTGTCAAACTGTGACCCCTAGAGTCGCTGTGGAGTACTTGTACCGTCGTAAATAGCACTCACGCAGAGATGTCTCTGCACTCACGGCCTGATCCCCGTCCCCCTTTATACCAGTACCTGTTCAGTAGGATGGAAGCTGTAACGAGTGGAAATAAGATGTGGCCCCTTTAAGAGCTGCGCCCTGTTGAATTGTCGGCAGGCTGTATTGTATGCGCCTCGAACACCACATGCATACGGCGCTGGGTTATTTCTGTTTTATGTTTATTTTATCAGATCTTTCTTGCCGTAAAGCAATTCGTTACATACACGAGACGCCCAAAATTCAACCCGAAAATAGTCATATAACCATTGCAATAACTCCGAAGCTATTCAGTTAAGGTAAAAAAAACCCCCCAAAAACTGCATAGTGCTGCTTTTAAATACTTTACTATTTTAGGTTTGGGATGGGTGTTTGTTTTTGAAAGTAGTTCTCAAAATTACAGTAAAATAATGGAATATTATTACAATTTAAAATAACTGTTTTCTGTTTTTAATACATTTTAAATTGTAATTTATTCCTGTGGTGGTAAAGCTGAATTTTAGGGAGCCGTTACTTCAGTCTTCAGTGTCACATGATCCTTCAAACATCATTCTAATATGCTGATTTGGTGCTCAGGAAACATTTATCAGTGTTGAAAGAAGTTGTTAGACATCATGATAATTTTCAGGATTCTCTGATGAACAGAAATAAAAAAAAAAAATAGCATTTTACATTATAAATTTCACTTGGGATGGCTTTAATGTGTCCTGGCTGAAAAAAAAAAATTACTTTAAAAAAAAAATCTGTGTACTAGACAGCTACTGTATAAGTCAACTATTTGTTGGCTTATTTTATCTTAAGCTTATTAATTTTTTTTGTCATAGTATTAAAAATAAATAAAAGTAATAATAAAAGTAGACTACTATAAGTGAGGCATTTGTTGTAACGCATATTATTTCATTTTTATTTGACTTTTTTTCTTTTTAGAGGCTTGGAAAATCTTAAAAATAAAAAAAAAATATTGTAATGCGAAATTATTTGGGAACATTTTACATGCTTAAACTTTCATATTGTTTAGTCTCAATAGACTTGGTGTGAACAAGCTCAGATATCCCCTCTACCCTCTTGTCCATTCTTGTTAACTCGTTCAAACGCACTCTTTTCTTTCTAGTTTGGAATTCTGCTATATCAGAACTACAAGACCCCACACCAGAGAAAGACTGCCATATCAAACTTCACCACACCTGTGGTAAGAAACATGTTAATATGTTACTTAGTGCTGACTCTCTAGTGCAGTTGATGGGATAAATGTGCTGCATTCACGCTTCCGTGAGCTCACCTGGTATTATATGCACCCCGTGTACTCGGGAGGAACATTCTTGCTGAGAGTTCACTTAATCTGCTCATAACTCTATGAACTAATGAAGCGTGCAGCTATAGATTCCTTTACGCCGATTTGCATTGGGAACTTTCATGCTGGGGAAATGTACAAAACACAGTGCTTGCATTAAGGATTAATTTAGAAGGTATTTAATAAGGCTTTAGTGGTTTAATCAGATGGGTATAATGCTGATCATAATAGGTTGTTTTTGAGAACAACCTGTAGGTTTTGGCTTTTCCACTGTCGGGCCGAACGGTTCTTAGAACTGTTGCGAACCACTTGAGCCGTTCTCAGCCCCATATTCTCAGCACAGTTGGCTAAGTAATAGACAACTGATCAAGTGTAATACTGTTTTTACTATAGCGGAGTGTGTCTGAGAATTCGCTGGTCGCCATGGATTTCTCAGGAAGGACAGGTCGTGTGATTGACAACCCTGTGGAGGCTCAAAGCGCTGCAATGGAAGAGGGACACACTTGGAGAGTGAGTAGTTACAAGTTTACTCTGTGAGTTTGTCAGTAATGAATTGGGGCAGACGTTGTCCAATCCTGGTCCTGGAGGGCCACTGTCCTCCAACCTCAATTAAAGGGTTAGTTCACCCAAAAATTAAAAAAAAATGTCAGTATTTACTCACCCTCATGTTGTTCCATACCTCTATGTGTTTATTTGTTCTGCTATACACAAAGGAAGATATTTGGAAGAATGTTTTAATCAAACAGATCTCATTCCCCATTGACTACCATTGGGGAATGAGATCTGTTTGATTAAAACATTCTTCCAAATATCTTCCTTTGTGTTCAGCAGAACAAATAAACACATAGAGGTTTGGAACAACATGAGGGTGAGTAAATACTGACAGAATTTTCATTTTTGGGTGAACTAACCCTTTAAACACACCTGAACTAGTTAATCTAGGCCTTACTAGGCATTCAAAGAAACTTCCAGGCTGGTGTGTTCAGCCAACTTAGAGCTAAACTCTGCAGGACAGTGGCCCTCCAGGACCAAGTTTGGACATCCCTGAATTAGGGTTTTTAGGTCATTTATCCTTCCTCGAGTGGAGGAGTTTAAGTATCTTTGGGGTTTTGTTCACGAGTGAGGGAAGGGTGGAACGGGAGATTGACAGACGGATCGGTGCAGCTTCTGCAGTAATGCGGTCGATGTACCGGTCTGTTGTGGTAAAGAAGAAGCTGAGCCGTAAGGCAAAGCTCTCGATTTACCGGTTAATCTATGTTCCTACTCTCACCTATGGTCATGAGCTTTGGGTCATGACCGAAAGGACAAGATCCCGGATACTGGCGGCCGAAATGAGCTTTCTCCGCAGGGTGGCTGGGTTATCCCTTAGAGATAGGGCGAGAAGCTCGGTCACTCGGGAGGAGCTCAGAGTAGAGCTCCTCCTCGTGTCTGTTCCGGATGCCTCCTGGACGCCTTCCCGGGGAGGTGTTCCAGGCACGTCCCACTGGGCGGAGACCCCGGGGAAGACCTAGTACATGCTGGAGAGACTATGTCTCCCGGCTGGCCTGGGAACGCCTCGGTGTCCCCCCAGAAGGACTGGAGGAAGTGTCTAGGGAGAGGGAAGTCTGGAAATCTCTGCTTAGAGTGCTGCCCCCGCGACCCGGCCCCGGATAAGCGGAAGAGATGGATGGATGGATTCAGGTCATTTATAATATATATTTTTTTAATCTCTGTACAGAAGCGAAGTCAGAGAATGAATGTTTTGGGAAGCCCCAGTCCTCTACATCCCTCACCGTTAAGTTCAGGTGAGTACTGCAGTGTTTAAACTAAAATATTAGTTGATTTAAAGAGGATCTATTATGCCCTTTTAGAATGTCTTGGTTTTGGGGCCTACTAGAATAGGTTTTCATGCTTGGATGTAAAAAACAAAAACAACAACATTATTGTCCACATATTTTACATTGTAGCAGCACCTCTCTTCCCAGTCTGTCAGTAATGCTCTGTGGTGCGTTTCCCAAAAGCATTGTTAGCCAACTATAGGCGCAAGTTCAATTGAACTCTATTGGTAACAACTGAACTTGCGAGCATTGTTGGCTTTGGGAAACCAGCCCTGTTTAGTTCCTCTCTCAATTAAAGGGATAGTTGACTTTGAAATTAATTTTTGATATGTTTTAGCTTACCTCAAGGGCATCCAAGATGTAGGTGTCTTTGTTTCCACAGTATTTTCATATTATCATTTTTTTTGATATTTTAAGGTCAAACCGTTCTTGTCTGTCAGTCATATAATGCAGGTCTATGGTCACCATCTCAAAGAGCATGCACAGAGAAGTCCAAATTAAACACGATTTAATGACTCGTAAATGTAAGTACACATTGATGGCCTAAGACACGAAACGAGCAGTTTGTGTGAGAAAACGAACTGTATTTATATCGTTTTACCTCTTGTAATCCGTCACGTCCAAGTACTCTGAGGGTGAAGGTGCTTCTGTTTGCGCATGCGTGCCGGCGAGCGCTGGAAAGCCCCGGAAGTGATCTCTCGCGGTCTCTAAACTTTCACTCATTATTATTATTATTATTTACACAGAGATTTCAGAAGTGTTGCTCTTCACTTTGAAGATCTAAACATATTTAGATATACAGGAAATTGCAATGGAAGAGGATTTCGATATATCAACGGACAACGTTGATTTTTTATTTATTTATTTTTTTCCCGCAACCGTGCAAGAGATCACTTCCGGCGCTTTCCGGCGGCTGTTACATGAGGTAAAAACGATATAAATACTGTTCGCTTTCTCACACAAAGCGCTCGTCTGGTGTCCTAGGCAATCAATGTGCACTTATATTTACGAGGCATTAAATCATGTTTAATTTGGACTTCTCTGTGCATGCTCTTTGAGGTGGTGACCATAGACCTGCATTATATGACTGTCAGACAAGAACGGTTTGACCTAAAAACATCAAAGTTGAAAATACTGTGGAAACAAAGACACCTAAATCTTGGATGGCCTTGAGGTAAGCTAAAACATATCGAAAATTACTTTCAAAGTGAACTATCCCTTTAAGGCCTTTTTTCCCGAAAAGCACAATGAGCTCTGATTGGTCGGCTGGACAAGTGTTCTGTGCTTTGCGTGCATTTAAGAAATGTCACGCCCCTTACCGTAACAGCATGTTTCAACACACCATTAACACAACTCAAATAGGCCTCACCTTTTTTTGTCCGGTAAATTTGTGACGTGCGTTCCCAGAAGGAAACTACAATTGAAGTGTTTCAGGGAATTCAGAAACAGTGCGTATTGATATAGAGAATAACTCCCTTTAAAGTAAACTTTGTGCCTTGTATAACTTTACAGCCCTTTTTCATGCTCAAACAGCAACATTACACACTTGAAGTTGAAAAGGTAGAAAAGCATAGCAGATCCTCTTTACATGGTTGTTTAATCGATATAACAATATTTCATGCTGGTAAATGTGCACTTTGCATTCATGTCCCCAGTGATTCACAGGACGCAGTTATGGTTCCACGGCCGCATTATGAGAGAGGAATCCCACAGGATGATTATGCAGCAGGGCCAAGTTGATGGGTATGACATTTTCCATATATTAATATGATGGGAAATATTAACTGCTGTTTTGAAAGAGGGCAGTCCAATTAATCATAGTATTTTGCCTCGCAGGTTATTCCTATTGAGAGACAGCCAGAGCAATCCAAAAGCATTCGTACTCACTTTGTGCCATCATCAGAAGATTAAACACTTCCAGATTTTACCGGTGAGTCCCATATAAACATTGAATATATATTTCCTTTTGCATGTAGTGATACAGTAATTTGGGAGAGCGGGGCAAACTCCAAATTCATTCTTATTCTTAAAATTTGTAAAAGTTAATAAATGTACAGAATTCAAGAATTGTCTAAAATTGTCCAGCCTGCACACACAAAAAGCTCTGTTATAGACCATTTCACAAGATGTAAACAACACAGGTCCAGAAGCACTTCCTGTTTCAGTTTGTAACTGTTTTCTTTATTTCACATGTAAAGAAAACATCTTAAAGATGTTTGTTTAACTTTTTGATTCAGTTTTAAATGTTCTGTTGGTTGTATTTTATCCCAGCTTTTATGTAGTGTTAAAAAACTGAAACAGGAAGTGCTTCTGGACCTGTGTTGTTTACATCTTGTGAAATGGTCTATATTCAATGATTTTCACAAGTACAAAAATGAGGAAATAAAAATGCTTAATTCACAGCTGTAAGTGATTGAGGCACATTAAAAAGTACATTTTGTTCTGCTTTAATGCTGTTTTACATTATAACAAATATTTCCAGGTCTAATATTATATTTTGTGTTTGTCAGTGAATTCCCACTGTGTAAAAACCTTTCTATAGCTGAAAATAAGCCATGATTTATTAAAGGAAACACTATTCAACTTTTTTTAAATTGTCAAATATTGGTTCTATTAATGAGAATTATATTTTTGGTTGTTTATATGATTGTATTATAGTATTTGTACTTAAATTGTGATTTATAATTTTATTTTATTTTGTGTAATATTATATTTTAGGGTACATTTGCCCCTAATCTCCGTTATATTATGGAATAGCACATCACTTTTTATTGAGAGATTGGCTCATTTTAGGCTCTTGGTATCTTGACAGGAGAGTTTAACACTTTAAAAATGTATTTACTGTTTGTCTTCTCTTTTTCACCTTGCATTTCTTTTCACTCTCTGGCAGTTTGAGGAGGATGGCCAGGTCTTTTTTAGCCTTGACGACGGCTCTACCAAGTTCACAGACCTGATCCACCTGGTAGAGTTCTACCAGCTCAACAGGGGCGTCCTGCCATGCAAACTCAAACACCCCTGCACCATGGTGGCCTTATGACCCCCTCCTGAACCTGACAAACAACACACTCAAATGTAACAGAAAAACTGGATATTTTTTTTTTTTTTTTTTTAATAATTTCCATTCATTTTCACAATAAGTTGACGCAACCCACGGGCATGAAAATAACCTCCATTTTTCTCACTGCTCTGGGATTAGCATAAAACGTTTGGGACTAATTATAGGACAAAATCAACTTTCCAGACACCCTGTCCTTTGGTTTTGACAAGGGTGCCTGAATTTTTTATTTTATTAGTCTCTGTGTGGTGAACTTTCACTGAATTCAAGATTTTTTTTTCTTCATTCAGGACATGACAAGCAGACACACACCCCATGAACTGATTGGATCGGGACGGTCGTTTCGTTTGGTGTGTCTGCGGGGACTTGCGTTGCAAAAAGTTACTTGATGACAATTGATATGTATTATGCTATTTCCTACCTGAACGTTTTGCACTCTCAAGCTGAAAAACAGGTGATCCACTTCATCCTGAGCTTACCGCAACAACTGTTACCCATTTGCCTTCCTCCTACCGTTCACCCTTTCTGTCGTTTGTCCTCTTCCAAACTCGTCCTTGGGATTCCCTGTGTAATGATGGGATGAGTGCAAAAAGGCAATGACAGTACTGACCATTTGAGGTGTGACATCCTCAGTGACAGCCAAATAACATAACCCGGTCTTTCATACATCGCTATGTTTGTGTCTGCAAGGAGAGGGACTGGCCTCAAGGGGTGGCAGACTTGCACTTCATTAAATGATACTTGATTGCTATGCTTTTCCAGCATACGAATTAGTTAAGTTTGGAGTTTTAATCAAGCTTTGCCTTAAAGGAATGTTCTGGGTTAAATATAACTTAATCTCCATGCTTGCTGTCAATGTGCTTTGAAATACAAAAAGCGCGTCGGCAGTCACCTGGTTATAATTCAACTCTATTCGGTCACAAACAAACCCTCTTATTTTTCTCTTGTTTGACAGTTTGGAATTGAAAAACAAATAAGTATTTGTCATAATTGACATTATGCCACAGGTGCGCACCATAGCTTAAAGGGACAGTTCACCCAAATAATGAAAATTGTAATGTCGTTCCAAACCTGTATGACAGTCTTTCTTCAGTGAAACACAAAAGAAGATATTTTGAAGAATGTTTTCGTCCTTAGAATAAAAGTCAGTGGGGTCTAAAAGAAAATCATTGTCACTACTGACATGTGAAACTTATATATTAGTTTATACATTATAAATGTATTATTTCTAATATTTATTTTGTGTTTCACTGAAGAAAAAAGTCTTTAGAACTACGTGAAGGTTTTTTTTTTTATTTGAGAAAACTGTTTTAACTCAGAACGCAGGAATAGTGTTTAGGGCGCAGACAGGATGTGTTCATTAATGTCTTTTAAGAATTATCCATGTCATGTTAATCTGTTTGGGAAGATACATGGCCTGTTTGAGTATGGAATCACCTTTTCTATCAGATTTCGCTCCTGGCATTGAAATATCAAATTGATTGTTCGCAAATCAAAAACTTGACTCGGGCCTTAGAGTGCCACTGAAACTTGACCCAGGCCTCGTATCCCACCCTGAGCACAATTCAAGAGGGTAATTATTAGTTTCCTACACTGACTCCAGGTCGTCTTACTTTGTGAACGCACCTAGCTGTTAGTATAGCCTGAAGCTTAACAACTGCCTTTTCAAATCACTGTGCTGTTCTTGAGCCAATGTTAAACCCCTTAAAGTGACAGGCCAGGCCGGGACTGAGCGCCTGGAGGGATCGGACTTTGCGAAGTCACGTCTCACGGGCGTGTCTGTAATCCTCCGGGGCTGTGCGACTTAATGCGGTGAGGAGATTATCTCGCGTGCCAGCTTTTGCCACAAGGAGGTTAACAGGAAAAGCTGGTGTACGGTTACCTGAGGCGCTACATCAGCAGTCTCCTGTCTGTCCCCGACGCCCGCCTTGTTACCCTTCCAACACTGGCCCAGCAAGTCTAAGCTATGTTTTTTTTTTTTATATTCTAACTCTGACAGTTGACTGTTACTGCTGAGCTACAACCACACGCGCCTAGGACGAGAGTGTGTAGCCAGACAGCGACATAGTGTCGACCCAGATCTGGGCCGACGCTATTTTGCTGTCTGGGATGCGCACTGCGATTTTGAAACACTTTGATACCACACACAAGCACATTTTTAATTTTCACGTACGATTCACGCTGTTTAACGTGTGAAATGCTTTAAGGATTTTTTATTGTCTTAGATGTTCAGCTTCAACTCTGATCTGCCTTATCTTACGTTATCGCTTCCTTGCCGCTTCATACGTAAATCGAATTACGAAAAGTGGAAAGTGCAAGCATTACGCATTCGGTGTCTGGGATTGTGGTTGGCTATCATCATGTTTAAATATAGTAATTTAGTCACAATTCCAGCCTGCACGAGCTGGACTGAAAACATATCTAACTGGAATACGCAAGTGTGAACGCTCGTCGAGCTCAATGTGTTTGGATGATGCATATTTTCGTCAGACCTGTGCTGGTGTGTGGCTCACAATTATGAAATGCCAAACATGCATGTGAAATATTAACTTCCCCGACCTTGATTATGCCGTTTTGGTATTGATTTGTTGAACACAGGTGATTTGAGTTTGTTTCACCTGTATATATGGCTCATATGCAGCAGTCACACTCTTTTAAGTATGTGAAGCCTATGGAGAGGTAGTAGATCTAACACTGTATTAAAACACCATCTATTACTATATAAATGTGGTGCGCTCCAAAACAGAATGATTTGTTGATTTATGTTGTGCATAAAGTGCAAATTACGCATATTCCCTCTCGACATGTACCAGTGTGAAATATTTTTTAGCTTGTATCGTGTTGTCATTTTTATGTCACAAATGTCTTTTTATAAAGAGTATATATTACAGTATTAAATTAAGATTGTCTTCTGTTGTCATTTTCCACTGTTGAGAATGTCTAGAATTTTCCGGAGTGCACAAATTTACACTCAATGATTCGCACAGAAGTGCAAGTAGGCTAGCTACGTCATATGTTATAGATATGTACTTTTATAATGATTGCAACATCACAGTTTAAAAGTTTGAACGCATAAAAGTATAATATTGGTGATTATTTTGAACTTTATAAAATTATTTTTTTTACAATAGGCTTAATTTAATAGTATAGACTATACACTCCAATACTGGCTTACTGATTATGAATAATTGTAGTATTTCTCTTTATGTGGAAGGGCAGTTACCTATATAAATATACAAAAAAAAAAAAAGGAAATGTATGCAAAATTGGGCTCGTCCGGGATTTGAACCCGGGACCTCTCGCACCCTAAGCGAGAATCATACCCCTAGACCAACGAGCCTTGTGCATTTTGGGAAGTATGGTGTGCCACGTTGCATAGGGAGAAGCTTCAGGACCATATAGGACTTTCGATGGAGTGAGTTTAGGATGTTTGTTTTGGTTTCGGCAAATAGCGCCATCTAGTGGCATCAACCTGCAGTTACAGAGGTCACTCAGTTGCCTGAAGAATAAATTCGAAAAAAGTTGAACACACAGTTTGCGACACCGAGGCAGGCAAAGCAAGGCCTGAAAGTCAGCAGATGGTTAAATTAATGTCCGTGTTATGACTACGACTAGGTCTATGCTTGAAAAAAACACGGCTCGTTGGTTAGCATTTCGAGCTGGTCCGTGTTAGACTTACCATTTACAAAGAAAGAAATAAGATCCACTTGGGTGTGATGTAACATTATGATGAAATAAGGATTATGATTTATTTTTGGTTCAGAACTAAGCTTATTTCATTTTGATAATACTTTAGTACCATAGTGGTGGTGTCTGTAATAATGAGACTTTAAGAGAGGTTCATGTTCTCCGAAAAAAAAACAAAAAAACAATATCATTATTGTAAAATAACTGTGAGATCATTTATTAGATTATTTTGCTGTTGGAAAACACTGCACCTACTGTAGACATATAGCCTACAGCATGTAGAACTCAGTAAACAAACTTTGAAAGTAATGTAATGTTTTGCCAGTGCCAAGATTCAACCTTTGAAAAAATTGGGCTCGTCCGGGATTTGAACCCGGGACCTCTCGCACCCTAAGCGAGAATCATACCCCTAGACCAACGAGCCTAGCATGAAATTGAAGTATGACACAGTTCATACAGGAGATCCAGGCCCATTTTTGCCAACGTGGATGTGGGATGCTTATGCTTGTACTGTTGGATTTCTGGTTACATCAAGTTACTAATGGCGACATCTAGTGGTGGACAAGCAGATGCAAAGCTCTTCAGTGGACGTGTCTTTTATTCAAAATAGTTCCTGTAGTCATATTACATTTTTTATTTTTTATTTTTTTCCGGTAGTAAAAAGTACCTGTAGTGCACTGTAAAAATGTTTTGTTGGTTTAACTTAATAAAATAAGTAACCTGGTTATGTTCATTAAAATGGAAAAATTGAGTTAATACAATGAAGGAGATTAATTTAATCACCAGAAACTCAAAATTTTATGTTATCTGAACTACATAAATTATCTAACTTGACTTGACAAAAGAAAAAAATGTTGTCATTACAAATCATAAATATATATATTTTTTACAGTGTGCCTACAACACACCTGAATAACTGAATTAATTGTACTTCAGCCCAATAGGCAACTGAGAATTTGACATTTCTTTCTTGTAAGATGGGTTTCAAAAATTGCTAATTCATCCCACAGTTGTAACATACCCTGCATGGGGAGAGATAAAATGATTATATCCACCTGGGTGTGATGTAACATTATGAAATAAGGATTTATATTTGTTTCAGAAATAAGTTCATTTAATTTTGATAATATATATTTTTTTTCTCATTTTTAATGCATTTTTTGGTTATTTTTTTTATTTACCTGTAAATTACTAGATTTGATCAATAAATAATACATAAATGGTAATTCAAGCTCATTGCCTTATATTCTTTCAAGTTAAATTCAAAATAACTCACAATTTCCAGCATAACCCTTTGAATTTAGCTCAAACTATCTTCCATTGGGTGTCTTTGAGAATTATAACATGCTATTTCATGACCCTTGCCACTAGATGGCCTAACAGCTCTATACAGTATATGAACAGCAAATGAGCTGTTTCACTAGATCCTAAAGTCAGTGTCTCTTGAAAATGCATTATACACATGTAGACATTATAAAATAATCTTTGGTAAAGGTTTAGCATTTTTAGGTTTTTCTATGTGTATTGAAGCATTCCTGACATTCCATTCATTAAGGAGGTCAAATTGACCCGCGAGGCACAAGGGAAGGATTTGTCACTTTTTAAAATTTCAACCACAAAACTCCTCGAATCCATTACATTTTTCTTTGTGTGTGTGTGTGTGTGTGTGTGTTGTGTGTGTGTGTGTGTGTGTGTGTGTGTGTGTGTGTGTGTGTGTGTGTGTAAAAGTCCTAAGGTCCAATTTTTAAAATTTTTTTAAAAATGAGTTTCGGGTCAAAATGACCCGAGGGAAGGATGGAGGTGAACATGCTTACAAGACACAGTCAGACACTACATTGAACATTAGAATCATTTCAGGCGATAGTTGGCTTGTACAACAGCTGAGCAACTTAAGTTTTAAAGATTATTTTCGAAGGTAGTCAAAAAAAAAAAAAGGTCCTGGTCCTTTATTATGGTGTTTTATTCTGGTTCAGTATTCATACAGCGAAACGGCATTATACGGCAATGTATTTACTCACACAGTAAATAAACACATGATAAATTATTTTTTTCAGAGTGAACAGAATAGGTTATCAATCTACATATTCTGTCCATGACTCTATGACAAAAGTTCAGGCAAGACACAAGCAAAAACATATATTGCACTTCATCTGTTTTTGTCTGTAGATTAAATATCTTTAAAGGCCATTCTCAAAAATATTTTTTTCTCATACTGAGCCAGAAGAAGTGGAGATTACTTCAGTGAATAACGTACTTTAGATTTTTATTATATATTACAGAGGGGTTTGTTCATATGCATGATTTTACCGGCTACATCATTTTCCTAATTTTGAAGCTGGCTTTATTCAATGTTCAGATGTCTGTTCTGTAAATAAATGCAAATTAGTGCATAATAAATTAGAAAATGCCTTGTTTGTATATTTAAGCATCAAATGTTAAAAAACTTAAAGAATGTTTGTGATTAATGTAAACAGTCAATTGGGGAAGTATGGTGAAATCTATTTGTTCTTTCGTTTTTCTTTTTTTACCCTCTTAATCTCCCGTGCCTTACTTTTAAATTTGTAGATTAGTAATATATACTGTATATGAAGAGTTCAGATGCAAAAGCCTCTAAATGCCATTTGAAATTTTCTCCTTTAATGACGATTTTTATCAAACTTGTATATATAAGTTCATTAATTTCACTTAAATAACAATTAATAGGTATTTATCATTGCAATTTAAGTGAAATCACTGAACTTAAATATACAAGCTTGATAAAAATGATCATTAAAGAAGAAAATTTCAAATGGCACTTAGAGGCTTTTGCATCTGAACTCTTCATATATAGAGGCTATTTTTATAAATTAAATGTCACCAAAATATTTTATTTTATTAAATATATGAGATGCAATGTTAACATAAATATCTCTTTTACTGTAATCAATATTTTCAATATTAAAAAAAAATATATATTATCCACACCAATGCTATTCATCACAATACTCGCAATGGACACAATTAGTCCCAAAAAATCTATAAAAAGTGGTCTTTTTTATATTGTACGTATTGTTTTAATACAGCAAGAATGTCAACACAATATATGAGTCAAAAAGCTTTTATTTGGCAGCAATAAAACAACAAAGCACTGCTGTTACAACAGCTAAGAATATTTGAACATTATACTAACAGAACGAAAGATTAATTGTTGAGCATTGACTGATTTAGGACAGTCATTTGTAAGTTTGTGATTGTGTGTGTGTGTGTATGTGTATGAATAAGTGATTATGCATGCTATCTATGTCTTTTGTGTGATATGTGTGTTTCACTGGTCATCATCACACCGCTGTGTGTTCAGGCTCTCGGTCACTGCATTCTGGGATGTGTGTGTGGCTTCACAGCTGATGGTTTTTGCTCTGCTCCACTCACTCTCAGTGAGACTCAGGCTGCTGCTCCAGCTGTACAGTCCATCCTTCTGCAGAACACTTGGACTCAGATTCACAGCAGAGCTCCTGCTACCGCCATCCACCCTCCAGCTCAGCTTCCAGTCAGAGGGGAATCCCTTACTGGCCAAACACAGCACTGTAGCCTTACCCTGCTGCAGCTCGCCTCTGGAGGGAGGCAGGACCGTGAGAGTGGGGCGAGTGCCAGCTAGAGAGAGAGAGATTTTCAAGAGTTTCATTCTTCTTAAAAACAGCTCTATCAGTCTTTCACTTCCCTTTAAGAGATTCAGAGTTAATCAAGCAGATCTGAAGTGCAACTGTGTGTAAAAACATATTTGATTAAATCATATTATTCATATTTTAGTCTAAACAGGAGTAACATAAATATATTCAGTAATAACGATAATAGATTACTTATACATTACTAAAACAATTGATAACATATCAGACTAAAATGTATATATTAAATTTGTATCCATCCTGATAAAAAAATGAATACGTATGTAAGTGTATAAATGAATACATTTCTTTTCAGTTCATAAACCCTAGTGAAAAAAAGTATACTTTGTTGTAGTTTAAATATATTTACTTTTTCAATAGTACATTACCAACACAAAATTGTACTATATTTAAATGTATTTAGAGTAGCATCATGCTTTTACTCTTTTTCACAATACAACTTTTAACACACTTTAAAAAAAATTGTACTTTAGATATTTAAAAAAAAATACTTTTTAATTTTTTATTTACTTTTAATGTATTTTTTTAAAGTGTATTTATTTCAACTTTACTTAAAATATATTTTAGATATATTTCTGAATCTGTGCTGAAAATGATCATTGTGACAATGCTTTGAAATTATACTTTCAAAATACATTATAATATACTATATATTTTGCAAAGTATGGCTAAGTAAAATTTGTTTATTAATGTGCATTTGTTAGTGAAGACAAAATGTGCAATTTGTAGTATTTGGAATAAGCCAACGACATTTCTGCATAAAGTATACTTTTTACTCAAATATATAACACAAACAAAATTCAAGATTTGTTATCACAACATATTTTCTTTTGTCAATCAACTTAAATAATATATTTAGTTCAGATAACGTATTATTTTAAGTTTCTGGTGATTAAACCATTCTCCTTCATTGTATTAACTCACTTTTTCCAGTTCAATCAACTTAAAATTTTAAGGCAACCAGGTTACTTACTTTTTAAAGTTTAACCAACAATATTTTTTTACAGTATGGTATATTGCTTGTCTGTTTCGAATACACTCATAATGACACATATAAAGTACACTTTAATATCACTAATTAGTCCGTAAATGATCTAAGTAAACTTGAAATTGTTCCAATTTAGCACAAAAAAGGAAAAGGACACTAAATACACTCATAAATACACACTTTGATTTCTGATTCTTTAAATGCAAGATATTGAACGTGTACCTAAAGTATACTTGCAATAGTTCTTTAGCACAATCAGATATACTCAAGTAGCTTAGTTGGAACTCAGCACCATTTCTGGATAACTAAAGAGCATTAAGGATAAAATGAGTTGTTCCACTTTAGCAGACTTTACCAATTCAGTATACCATACACTCATATTAAGTTCACAAATATAAATTAATTTGTAGTATACGTAGCAAAAAATAAATGTATTTCAAATGCGTTTCAGTATATTTATATTCAGAACTATAATCAAGTCTAAAACATAACAATGTTATATAGTTATATTTTTAAGTGCCCAGTTTTAATTATTACAGTACAGTAATTAACACCTGAAACAGAAGTTAGATATATTTCTGTATTATCTTAAACATAAAAATAGGCAATAATATTTATTAACAATTATATTATATATAAAAATGATTTATATTTTTTGAAACAGAAAGATGTCCACTTACTTCCAACTGAGAGTCGTGTTCCTCCACCAAACGTCCACCACAGTGATACAAACCCAATGAGCGGCTGTACAAAAACCTCCTGCAATAACACTGACACTGACAGAGTTACACTAACATCAACACTAACTCTGACACTGACATTAGTTTATTCGCTCAGTCAGCTGAAAAAATAAATACATTTATAATTAATAGAATCTCCCAAAATTTCTGATTATTTTTTTAGGTTTATTCCATGATGCATCCGAAAGTGTTTTGCATATTAACTGAACACTACGCTTAAAACTCCACTGATGATTATTAGGGTGAGACACACACACTTACACACACACATACACAACAATGATGACTCTTATTCTAATGCTGGGGACACTCTGTCTGCTTGCTCAAGGTTCAAAATATATATATATTTTTTCATTATGATGGTCCTTTTTTATTTGTGCAAAAAATTTGAATTTGTGCTTTATATATTTTTTCTTCTTTTTTGCATTCATTTGAACTGTTTATAGCAAATTCAAGCTTCTTTTAATTTGTTTTTGAACTCTCTCTCAGTGTCTCATCAAGAGGCCCAGACTCCTGAGTCTTTGCTTGTTAAAGCAGGAGATTCAGTCTCTATAAGCTGCACTGGGACCAGTGGAGTTGATGATGACATGAGCTGGTATCTGCAGAAACCTGGAGAAGCTCCTAAACTCCTGATCTATAAAGCAAGTCGACTTGAATCCGGAGTCCCAGATCGGTTCAGTGGAAGTGGATCTGAACCTGATTTTACACTGAACATTCGTGGAGTCCAGCCTGAGGATGCAGGAGATTATTACTGTATGGGGGCTTATAGTGGTGCATTCACACAGTGAAACATCTTCATACAAAAACCTCCCTCAGTCAGACACTACAGAGAAGAGGAGAATCAGTTGCCCTGTAACAGCTGAGCAACAGTTAAAGTAGCAATACATATTTTATTTTCAGTTATTTCATTATTTGTTCACTTTAATTTTCATTTTTGATTTCAGAAGAAATTAATATGTGAAATTTTGGGCTTAGTGTCATTGTGGACAGAAGCTTGTTTTTTTCTTTAAAGACTGAAATAAGCTTTATTGTATACAGATAATCACATTCTGACATCACATTATGCTGTAAATGAACATGTGAACTCATGCCATATAACATATTCTCTTTCATGTGATATTTTCAATATTAAAATATGGTGTTAGTATGTTTTATTAAAGAATGTACAGTATTGTCAAAGAAATTAACAAAAATGAAAATAATATATTTTACATGTATTTAAAAATATATTTATAGTTGCTGGTATACATGACAAAATTAGAATGTATTTAAATAGAGATATTTTCTTGTATTTGGTCCTGCTAAAACATGTACCGCCCACAAAAGCGGCCTTAGCGTGCTGTAAGTCCCAAGCACGTGATGCAACAATTGTGACCATCAGACGATCGGCTCCGAAGCGAAAGACAACTAGTGCGTGGCATTACATTTTGGAAAAATGTTGAAAGTTATGTGTCATTTAAGACAAATAACACAATAATGCTTGAAGGGAAACAGATTATTACATATTTTAATTGTAGAGAATGATAGAAGTTTATGTGATATTGCAAACCTCTTTATTTTACTAGGTAAATTCCATATTCATAAAGCTAAATTTTCCAAGGCCATGTTTAAAATTTTTCCAAAGTCAATATATATTTTGAGTCTCTTAAACAGATTAAAAATAAAAAAGCTTTGTCGGCAACTATAATATACTTTTAAATGTTCACTTGAAAATTAGAAAAATATTTTTATGTTTATAAATAATGAAGTTTGTAAGTCTGTCTGTTTATATCTATATTATATTCTGGTGTCAAACTAGAATAAAGTGATAAAATAAATAAAATAAATAAAACCTTTGCAATTGGAACTTCAGAATGAACTATCGGTAATCATCCATCTCATGTGTAATAGCACACGCCTTTAATGACCTGAAGTGACTCTGGTTAACTCCAAATACATCTCAGCTTTTCTTGACATCATCTTAGTTTCACACTCTTACAAGAGCCATGGGCCACAAAGAGCTATGAAGAATCAACAGGATCTTATTTTTGAAAGGTATCACTAAGTTGAGGGGCTAAAAAACATTCCAATACACCTCAAAAATACAACATTAGCCTTTATATAGCCTAGTGTTTTTAGTAAAGAAAACATTATTGTACTTATTCAAAGAAACAGTTTTTTTTTTTACCCTTGAGACAGATCAAAATCATTCTTGGTGATTTTTCAGGGGAAAAAAAGAAGAAAAAAAGATCTTGCTCTTTACCACCTGAAATATGTTTCTTGACAGTAAGAGGTTTTTGTTCTCAGAAAGAGATTTACATTGAAGAGTCTTTGCATATGAACTGCACGCTTCAGTGCTCTGGAGGTCTTTAAAGATCTGTGAGTTTATGATTTTATGACTGACAGCTCTCCTTCATGATAACAGATCCGAAAGCAAACATGAGTTTAATAGCCATCATTATTTGGACACTCACAACCTGCACCTGGAGTAATATAGAAATTAATATAATTAGATTCAGGCCTAAAGCCAGAAATTAAGAAATCAACAAGATGCTCAGATCAAGATTTAGACTTCATATGTAAATAGTTTTTATGTATTTAAAAAATATGATTTTTCATATATGAATGTTTTTAACCCTTGTATGAATATGAATAACGTTTTTCTTTAATGGTTTGATTTTCAATTCAAGTTCGTCATTAATTAATTAGAGTTTGATGTGCAAAATATGGAAAGTAGTGTAACAGCAAGAAATACTGTGTGCTCATTCCTGACAGATGCATTATAACTGTGAGTGTTAGACTTTCAAATGTGCTCATGAGTTCAATATTATTCTCAATGTTATCTGTCTCTCTCTTCAGGTTCTGTGTGACTGAGATATCGAAACTCAAAATTTCGACCAGAAAAAAAAAAAACGACAGTGTTACCCCTTACGTTTTTGTTTTTTTTTGAGCGAAAAATTAAGTATCCCCAATCTTCTTGAAACTCTGGATTCTGATAGAGGGCCATGAGACTTAGACCTGAGTGCAACAATGGAGGCTCTAGACCCTTCCAGAGCTGAGATATCGAAACTCAAAATTTCGACCAGAAAAAAAAACGACAGTGTTACCCCTTACGTTTTTTTTTTTTGGGCGAAAAATTAAGTATCCCCAATCTTCTCAAAACTCTGGATTCTGATAGAGGGCCATGAGACTTAGACCTGAGTGCAACAATGGAGGCTCTAGACCCTTCCATAGCTGAGATATCGAAACTCAAAATTTCGACCAGAAAAAAAAAACGACAGTGTTACCCCTTACATTTTTTTTTTGAGTGAAAAATTAAGTTTCCCCAATCTTCTTAAAACTCTGGATTCTGGTTGACGGTCATGAGACTTGGACCTGAGTGCAACAATGGAGAATCTAGACCCTTCCAGAGCTGAGATATCGAAACTCAAAATTTCGACCAGAAAAAAACGACAGTGTTACCCCTTACGTTTTTTTTTTTTTTTGGGTGAAAAATTAAGTATCCCCAATCTTCTTGACGCTCTGGATTCTGATAGAGGGCCATGAGACTTAGACCTGAGTGCAACAATGGAGGCTCTAGACCCTTCCAGAGCTGAGATATTGAAACTCAAAATTTCGACCAGAAAAAAAAAACACAGTGTTACCCCTTACGTTTTTTTGGGGGGGCGAAAAATTAAGTTTCCCCAATCTTCTCAAAACTCTGGATTCTGATAGAGGGCCATGAGACTTAGACCTGAGTGCAACAATGGAGGCTCTAGACCCTTTCAGAGCTGAGATATCGAAACTCAAAATTTCGACCAGAAAAAAAACCCACAGTGTTACCCCTTACGTTTTTTTGGGGGGGGCGAAAAATTAAGTTTCCCCAATCTTCTCAAAACTCTGGATTCTGATAGAGGGCCATGAGACTTAGACCTGAGTGCAACAATGGAGGCTCTAGACCCTTCCAGAGCTGAGATATCGAAACTCAAAATTTAGACCAGAAAAAAAAAACGACAGTGTTACCCCTTACGTTTTTTTTTGGGCGAAAAATTAAGTATCCCCAATCTTCTTGAAACTCTGGATTCTGATAGAGGGCCATGAGACTTAGACCTGAGTGCAAAAATGTAGGCACTAGACCCTTCCAGAGCTGAGATTTTGAAACTCAAAATTTCGACCGGAAAAAAAAAACGACAGTGTTACCCCTTACATTTTTTTTTTTGGGAGAAAAATTAAGTTTCCCTAATCTTCTCAAAACTCTGGATTCTTATAGAGGGTCATGAGACTTAGACCTAAGTGCAAAAATGGAGGCTCTAGACCCTTCCAGAGCTGAGGTATCGAAACTCAAAATTTTGACCAGAAAAAAAAAACGACAGTGTTACCCCTTACGTTTTTGTTTTTGGGCGAAAAATTAAGTTTCCCCAATCTTCTCAAAACTCCGGATTCTGATAGAGGGCCATGAGACTTAGACCTGAGTGCAAAAATGGAGGCTCTAGACCCTTTCAGAGCTGAGATATCGAAACTCAAAATTTCGACCAGAAAAAAACCCACAGTGTTACCCCTTACGTTTTTTTTAGGGGGGGGGGCGAAAAATTAAGTTTCCCCAATCTTCTCAAAACTCTGGATTCTGATAGAGGGCCATGAGACTTAGACCTGAGTGCAACAATGGAGGCTCTAGACCCTTCCAGAGCTGAGATATCGAAACTCAAAATTTCGACCAGAAAAAAAAAACGACAGTGTTACCCCTTACGGTTTTTTTTGGGGGGGAGAAAAATTAAGTTTCCCCAATCTTCTCAAAACTCTGGATTCTTGTAGAGGGTCATGAGACTTAGACCTAAGTGCAAAAATGGAGGCTCTAGACCCTTCCAGAGCTGAGATATCTAAACTCAAAATTTCGACCAGAAAAAAAAAACGACAGTGTTACCCCTTACGTTTTTTTTGGGGGGGAGAAAAATTAAGTTTCCCCAATCTTCTTGAAACTCTGGATTCTGATAGAGGGCCATGAGACTTAGACCTGAGTGCAAAAATGTAGGCACTAGACCCTTCCAGAGCTGAGATATCGAAACTCAAAATTTCGACCGGAAAAAAAAAACGACAGTGTTACCCCTTACGTTTTTTTTTTTTGAGTGAAAAATTAAGTTTCCCCAATCTTCTCAAAACTCTGGATTCTGATAGAGGGTCATGAGACTTAGACCTGAGTGCAAAAATGGAGGCTCTAGACCCTTCCAGAGCTGAGATATCGAAACTCAAAATTTCGACCAGAAAAAAAAAACGACAGTGTTACCCCTTACGTTTTTTTTTTGGGCGAAAAATTAAGTTTCCCCAATCTTCTCAAAACTCTGGATTCTGATAGAGGGCCATGAGACTTAGACCTGAGTGCAAAAATGGAGGCTCTAGACCCTTCCAGAGCTGAGATATCGAAACTCAAAATTTCGACCAGAAAAAAAAACGACAGTGTTACCCCTTACGTTTTTTTTTTTGGGGCGAAAAATTAAGTTTCCCCAATCTTCTCAAAACTCTGGATTCTGATAGAGGGCCATGAGACTTAGACCTGAGTGCAAAAATGGAGGCTCTAGACCCTTCCAGAGCTGAGATATCGAAACTCAAAATTTCGACCAGAAAAAAAAAACGACAGTGTTACCCCTTACGTTTTTTTTTTGGGGGCGAAAAATTAAGTTTCCCCAATCTTCTCAAAACTCTGGATTCTGATAGAGGGCCATGAGACTTAGACCTGAGTGCAAAAATGGAGGCTCTAGACCCTTCCAGAGCTGAGATATCGAAACTCAAAATTTCGACCCGAAAAAAAAACGACAGTGTTACCCCTTACGTTTTTTTTTTTGGGGCGAAAAATTAAGTTTCCCCAATCTTCTTGAAACTCTGGATTCTGATAGAGGGCCATGAGACTTAGACCTGAGTGCAACAATGGAGGCTCTAGACCCTTCCAGAGCTGAGATATCGAAACTCAAAATTTCGACCCGAAAAAAAACGACAGTGTTACCCCTTATGTTTTTTTGCGTTTTCGGGCGAAAAAACAAGTTTCTCCAATCTTCTCAAAACTCTGGATTCTGATAGAGGGCCATGAGACTTAGACCTGAGTGCAAAAATGGAGGCTCTAGACCCTTCCAGAGCTGAGATATCGA